ACAGTGCAAATTCCTTCCTCTATTCAGAAATTGATGTTACTCAATTAAGACAACTGAATAAATCAACTAGCACTTCTGAATCTCAATTCCACATTCCTGGAAAAAAGACTAAATTGACCCACCATACTCAGAAGTTTATCTCTAGTCTGATCTGCTATGGCCCAAGAGGAAGAGTTGTGTGCATTGCTGTTAGGCCTGCCCATTTGGGTGGGTAGCGACAGTGTAGCTCTAAGGGAAAGGGGGTTGTGGCTGGCCATATGCCCTAAAAATGCATCTACTAGACTGGATATTTTTAAGTAAAAGACTATAAAGTTAGAGTATAGATCAAACTTGTGCTCATTTTTATGAAGAAAGCCTGGGTGTAAAGGAAAAGCTCCCAAGTCGTTCCCAGAAAACTCAGAAGAGTCAAAAAAAAAAAAAAAAAAAAAAAAAAAAAAAAAAAAAAAGAAAGAAAGAAAGAAAGAAAAAGAATTCTACATCTCCTTTTCTACTATTTGACTTTTTTTACAAGTAGTCAGCTAAGTTCAGCTAGAAAACGGTTTGCATTACTCAATGCCTGAAAATAGCATAGAGAAGAACTTTTCAAAATAAGAGACTTCTCCAGTCTCTGAAAAGTATTTCCCAAAGAATTTGTTATCAGTTTCCGGTTCAGATGAGCAGTTGGACTGTTACCTTGACACTCATTCTGGGCAGCTGTGCCAAATTAGATGTCTTTCATACCTTCACATCTACTGCCCACCATATTTTAGTCGAGAATTAATCAGACAAGCTCTTGGAATTAAAATATGGTCCATAGCATGAGAAAAGATTCTTTCCTCATTATCTGTGGATGTTATCTCTCCCTCAATAAGTCAGTAGGTTTTCTGACATGAGATATAGCTTTCAACTTTTGCCTACATTTCTGAAAACTAAAAAACATCCTAGTAGCTAAATCAATATGTTATCTGTACAGGTAAGACCAGGAAATAGTGTGGAATAATGTGGCAATTTGTATTAGCTTCAGCCAAAAGTAACTTATAAAATAAGGTGAGGGGGGAAGAAAAGAACTGATAAGCACTGACAGTGAACAAACATTATATAGCATATTTTTGAGTCCTAATTTTGTAGCTACCACAACTTTTATAATTAAGTCAAACAAAGATATTCTATTGAAGAACTTCTTTTGAACAACTTTCATGGTTACAAATGTCTTCTTAGAAATAAGTCTGCATCTTCCACCACCAGGTTCTAACACAAGCATCTGTGCAATCATTGCACTGAGCAAGTTAAGACTCCAAAGGTGCAACAGAAAATAAACGTATTTACTGTCACTGCTGTTAAAGCTTGCTCTGAGGAGCTGGTTCTTTTGTTTTCAGGCCCCTATAAACACTTGGAAAGTCCCCATGACTTTTCTCTTTATACTCGTGATCATATACATCTCTCTCTTCTTCCCCACCTGGCACTTTCGTCCCAGTCACTCACTAGGCTACCTCTGCTGCCTCCAGGCTAAGGATGGAGAAAGACAAGAGGCAAAGGTCAAGAAAGATCTCATTTTCATTGGTACTGTCATGGCAATATAATTTTGATGCTGTCCGATCTTGGCAGAAATTTAAAGTTGGACTTTCTCTCAAAAACCACTTTGTGGATTCCTGGAAGCCCCTTGACATCCCACCATTGTCTGATTTCTTGCTGGTACTTCTCTTGCCATCCCAGTCTCCTTCTTCTGTGACACTCTGGAGCGAGATCCAAGACAACTCCTCCTGTGTGACATTATCCAGCTCAGAGAAAATAACCACACATCCTTAGCTAGACCAACTCTAAAGGAGCAAGTAGCAATGGTCTGGTGAAATGGCATTAAAAGCCCAATTTCTGAGCAGGTCAGTGTCACTGTATCTACCTCTCTCCTCACCACAGTCACAGCCAGATAGCCATAGTCTCCAGCTATGGGGATATATTTTTGAATAAGTCAGACAGGAACTTTAAAAGAAGTAAGTCTAGCTCTCAACAGTGGTTCAGTCCACTAAAACCTCTTTCCCTCAACTTGAAAAGAAAAACAAAGCACCCCCTTTACTCCCACCATACGTAACTGGGGAGAGCCCAAACACCCTAAGGGACCTCTCCAAAAAAAATCATCCTCAGGACTCCAGGTGAACCCTTCTATTCCTTTGAGGAGGAAGAGTTCCTAATGGTTGCCTGATTGGATTTTGAATACCCCCTTGGAAGTCTTTCTTGATGTTTTAATGCCTCACAAATGCAGAGTAGCTGGCTGCCCACACTTGCAGTGTGCAGCGAAAAGTGAAGCTGACTTAGTTTCATTTTAAATTGTGCTACCCATGAGACCACAGCCAACATGGATAATGCTTCTTCCACAGGAAAGCCTTTCAAAGGCCCTTCGAAATGAGGCTCAGAGTTCTTTAGAGTTTTCAGGTACTTCACATCCATTATAGTATTTGAAACTCCTCTGTAAAATAGGAAGGATGGGTGCTAAATGAGGCTCTCAAAGGGGTAGAAGTGACTTCTTCAGAGCTCTGTACTATAAAGTTCTGACCATGAATCCGGCGCCCAACCATGAGCTGAAAAAATTGTAAAGCAAGCAGAATTGTTTGATAAAATAGAATTAAAAGCCCAATTTTTGAAGAAGATACTATAGAACTACTAAGGGCCCTTGGAAAAAACAACCACCACCTCTCTAGTGATTCCTTTTGGGAATTCAAGGTATGTATATTTTGAATAAGCTGTCCAGGCGATTTTTTTTCTGTATATATACTTCTTTTCCTCCATTTCCTTCCTCTCTACCATTCCCACTCCACTACCTCTCCAAGAATCACTACCCTAACAGGCCTAAGAAAATAGTGGTAGTGATTTAAGACAGTTAACCAAAAGCCAGTTGACACAAAACAGTATTTGCAACCCAGAAGCAACTGGTTGTTTGTATACACAGCCCACGCTCACCTGCCAATCTCTCCGCTTTGCCCATCTATTAGGTTGAAGATGTGTAGCGAATTCAGGAATGGTGAACCAATAAAAGGAAAAAAGGGCCAGAGTCCATGCTATGGCCATTTATCATGACACACTTAACTACCAAGCCCTTCTTAAATTACTACCTAAACTCATAAACTAAACTACACCAAAGGTAAAGAGGTAGCTGCCTATGACCTTTCTCCTGTCCTTATATTTAATTTCCTTCTGTTTTTCTCTTTCAATTTTTTTTCCTGCCAACTTGCAGCATTAAAAGAGATTAAGGAAAGCAATCCTAGGAAATAATATAGGTGTAAACAATTATATTTGACTTAGGGATTCCTTGACACACAAATCTCAACTCAGAATATTCCAAACACATAGTCATTGTTGCAAAAGACCTGGAGAAAGAATGAGAAAGAGTAATTTAATTTGGTGCCTGTGTAAGAGAGAGAATATATCAAGTTATAGGAGAGGAGAGGTAAAAGAGAATGATGTCAGTAATTATGCAATAAATATGTAAGAATTCAGTACCTGGAAATGGAATGATGCCCAAACAAAAAATCTAAAATATGAGCCACTGGTTCTGGGACTGGGCAACAAGAAGAAGCTCAAGGGGCCTAGGGAGGCTGGTGGTGGGAGTTTGAAGAGGGTGAAAAAGGTAACTTGTGGAAAGTTTGGCAACACTGACACCTATGGTCATGTGGAAAATAGAAAGGATGCCTAATGAATTCAGGAATCTGCTCTGGGGAGACTGCCCTGCAGAGGGTAGGTGACAACTTGCTTGTAGATTTCTATGACAACAGACTAGAGAAGACTGGCAGGCTTAAAAAGGAACTATTAATTATTCCATAATAACTTAGAGTAAATATGAAGAAGCTAGGACTTGCTTAGTTTGAAAGTTAAAAACTATTCCTTATACCCAGTCTGTCCCAGCAAAATATTCTCAATGAAATAGCTTCAAGGCAAAGCTCAAATCCAGAGTTCCATCAGTAAAGCATGACTTCAAGTTAAAGATTCCAAGGCATGGGTGTAAAACCATTCAGAAATATTTAAGTCCTAGTAGGATTCTCTGGGGTATACTTCTAGACCATCTCAGTTAAGCAGCTGGACTTTTCAGAATCATCAGGGCATTATCTATAGCAGGTTCACAGCTGCCAAATGTAGAGAAGGACGTATCTAAGAAAAACATATTGGTGTGGCTTTTGTCTAAAGAAGTTTATTATAAATTAATGCCTAACAAATTCATAAAGTTTATAAAATAATTTTATTCACTTTAGCTGGAAGACACAAACCGTTCAGAATGAAAAGACACCACTGGATCCCAACCTTCTTTGGGTAGGAAGCAGGCTGAGAAATCTACTCAGCTCTAAACACAGGTCACAGAGAAAAGGAAGGATAATTTTGGCCTAACCAAAAGCCCAAAAGATTGAGCCACGAGCCATGGAAAAGTCTTCCCAAGGAGAAGGCCAAGGCCATAATCAAGGAACTGGCAAAACATGCTTGACTAGACTTTAGAATTGCTAGGCCCTAGTGCCTACTATGTGCCTACCAATTCTTTTTGAAAGGAGGTGTCCATTGGGGTTCCCCTGTCTCTGAGCTGCCATGTGTACTGTAGAAGTTAGTCTCTTGAGTTCACAGGCCTTCAGATAGAAAGTAACTGTACTCGATGAACTGTGCTTGAAGACCCTCATCTGTATGTTGCCTTAATTTAGAAGATGAGATCCTTGAGCTGATAGGAGGTGACCAGACAGTAAATATTTTAGACTTGCAGGCCGTAAGGCCTCTGTCACAATTATCCAACTCTGCTGTTACAGCATGAAAGTAGCCACAGACAACATATAAATTAAAAGTTATGTCTGTGTTCCTGTAAAACTTTATGAAAATAAATGGAAGGCTGTAGTCTGCCAATCCCTGATGTAATGGGATGACGTTTTGGTGATCCAGGATAAGACTAGTTTGTATATGAGAGAAATAGAAATCATTTCTGACCAAAGGGTAAATTATGGAAGATTAAAGATGGCCACAAATCCTTTGACACTCTTCTGTCAGAATTTGGACAGACTCTGGAACTGCTTTGACCAATTAAACACAGCAGAAGTGACATCATGCTGGTTTCCTCCCCTAAGGCACTGGCAGCTTCCTCTTCCTATCTCTTGAAACTCACTCTTGGAGTCCTGAGGCCTGAGTGTAAAGATTCCAACTACCAACTGGAGAGACCATATGGAGAGATCTTCAGCTCATCTGGTGAGGGAGAGCGGCTCAGCAGAGTCATTGCGGTCAAGATACTAGGCAGGTGAGTAAAGCTGCCTTGGACTCTCTAGAGCCAGCTAGCTACCAGTTAAAAACTACCAAGTGACCTCAGTCAACACAACATGGAATACAATAATCACCCAACCAAGAACCGTTCAAATTATCAACCCACAAAGTCATAAGAAAAGTGAAAGCCATTGTATTTTAAGCCACTATGTTTGGGAGTGCTTTATTGCAAGAACTAGGTCAAACGCACGGATACACATACATGTGCATCCACCCCAATATTAGGAACGGTTTAGGGATTATGGGGAATGTAACTTTGAAGTTTTCTCTTGTTTTGTTTTTTGTGATTTGCTGTATTTTCCAACTTTTAAAAAACAAGCTTGAAAGTTTTCTTCCTGACCAAAAAAAAAAAAAAAAAAAAAAAAAAAAAAAAAAAAAAAAAAAAAAAAAAAAAAAAAAAAAGGAAAAAAAAGCAATTGAGAGGAAATTTGGACTCAAATAAACAGATATATCATGGTCAAAATGACCCTTAAGAGAGAGCAATTATTTTTTTGGCTCCAGTAGAAGAGCCAGGCAAGGAGGCTGACACAGAAACTTTATCAGATCCCACAGGAAAGTTGATTAGGATCTAGCTGTGAAAATGGAGGAAAAGAGGCAGATTTTTTTAAGATTACCTAAGAATATGAAACTTCCTACTCTCCCCTTCTGCATTTATCATCATAGAGATGTAAAAAGGTCACAAGAATTATACCCAAGAGCAGTAAGATTGTTTCTCCATTTTTCTGTCTCCATCCTAAATTTAAGGAAAGAATAAGTGTATCTAAGAGCAGGCACATTTTTGCATTTCATCAGACTCACAGGAACAATATTTGTGTTTTGTTTTTTTCAAAATTGATTCCTTTGTTTTAATAGTCTTTAAACATTGGAGTGTCCCAAAAAGTAGGCCACCTGCTCTTGATCTACAAAAGGCCCCACCTCCTAACCCCAGTTTACCATTGTTTTAAAACACACATGCCAAACCGAAATTTCTTAGGAGACATAAAGTATTTCTGCTGTACATTATCAAAGGTCATGGGCTGCCTCCTAATAGGTATTCTAGGGATATACGGACCATATCCAACATGACTTTTTTGGCAGGAGAGACAAGCTGTTCTCTTCAGCAAAATGTCCAGGCAATCTGTACCCCACTTACTATATTCTAATAAGCCATCTAGGACACTTGTCAAACAAGTAATTTGTATTCTAAGACATTAAATTTTAAAGGCAAATATTTGACCCAATTTGCAGCACCCCAATTTTTTCAAATGTTGTATCTCTTCTTTTTTCCATCTGCACTTACACAATAACAATATGGAGAATCTGTACAACAGGTGGCTTGGTTATTGATATGCCTTGGAAGTTTAAATTTCTGCTTTAATTCTCCAGAAACAGAGAGAGGAGACATCTTAATGAGGACAGCAGAACACATGAGAAACTAATGAAAAGAACACGACGATGCCCCAGAGGTGCCTAATACATTGTGAATTCCATTATAAATAAAATCTGATTATTTTTAGTTTCTTGTCAGATGCATCCTCTAAGCTTGTCTTTCATTCCTGCTGCAGGAAATTCTTTACTGACACTGAATTGGAGAAATGATTATTTTCCCCAACTCATGGCTTTGTGTTTCTGGAAAGATAATTTTCAGCATGCAAATTGGATGCATCCAAAATCATTCTGATGCAAGACCAGAGCTTCACAACTCTTTTTACAATTTCAAAATGAGTTTGCTGCCCAAAGGAAAACATAAAACACACCAAAGCTAGAGAAAGACAGTAACATCTCTAAATAGCCTAGAAATTTCTCCCTGCCTGATGAACTGCTTTTATTAAAGAGTTTACTGTTTCTCCTCAAATTTGAACGTATGTTTCTAAAAATGGAAAAATGGTGAAAAGACCAAAGGAAAGAAGTTGACAAACCATAACCACAATAGCACCCAGCCTCAACCAACAGCAATAGAACGATGAACCTGGAAAGATGTTATTTATATAATAACGATAGTAAATAATTACATAGCACTTACTATATGCCAGGTACTACCATAAACCCTTAGTGTATAGTGATTCATTTAATCTTCACAACAGGAGTAACTTTTATTTCCATTCTGTAGGTAAGGAAATTGAGCCACAAAAAGGTTTAAAAAATTGCCCAAAGGGTAGAGCCAGGATTTAAACACAGGCAGCTCTGGCTCTAGATTCTAGGCTCTAAAAACAATACATCAGTGCCTAAAACACCCAGTTTAGGACAACTAAGAATGTCCTATGGGTCTTGAAGAAATTGCTTGGTCTCTTTTCTTGGAACAGTAAGGCCAGAGAGAGAGACAGACAGACAGAGAAAATAGATACGCCGTCCTTTCTCATCTCTTCAAAAGTCTTCACAGTTTCTTAAGGGCAGTGAAAAAAAAATGTTTCTCAGAGGAGGTTGGTGTCAGCGGAATGATAAAAACAGCAACACTGCCCAAAGTTCCATAAATTACTGCTGGAAATTCAACAAGAAAGCATAATAGTCCGGTTTCAACCATCTCTCCTGCCACTTTAATAGACCAAGATGTTTAGATGTATTTCTTTCAAGTTTTTACAGAAAAACTAGATTTACAAACAATCTGTTTACAGGAAAAAAAAATACAATGAAGAATATTCCTGTGTTTTGATGGTAAATGTATTTTTGGTTGACAGGAATTTTTGTCATTAAGAGTCAATAGGGAACCCATGAAAGTTATTCAATGTCCAACAGATCCATTGAGTTATCATATAAAAGCTGTAACTCATCAAGACAGACTAAATGTGATGAATTGTATACTCTACTAGGGATTTTTGTCAACATGATGAACTTAGGAAGATATCTGCCTGAATGCATATTGTTTTTGTAGTTAAATAGAAATCACAAGTTACTTCAAAAGGAAAGCATGCCCACATCTGTCTTTTCTCAAGGCAATATTTTTTCTCAGGATTTCATTTGCTTCAATTTATTATTTTTCTTGAAAAGAGAAATATGAAATCTGATAATGCATTTTTAGAAATAACATTTAATTCATTTTATTTAAAAACTTTCACTTACTTATTTATCTGCCTGAAGTCTACTTTATTAAAGAATTTTAGAGCCTAGTGAATTTTTTTTTCTTTTTTTTTTGAGACAGAGTCTCACTCTGTTGCCCAGATTGGAGTGCAGCGGTGCAATCTTGGTTCACTGCAACCTCTGCCTCCCCGGTTCAAGCAATTCTCCTGCCTTAGCCTCCTGAGTAGCTGGAACTACAGGCGCATGCCAACATGCCTGACTAATTTTTTGTATTTTTAGTAGAGACAGGGTCTCACTGCGTTAGCCAGGATGGTCTCAATCTCCTGACCTCGTGATTTGCCTGCCTTGGCCCCCCAAAGTGCCGGGATTACAGGCATGAGCCACCGTGGCTCGCCCTGGTAAAATTTCATACAGATATTATTCATTCACCCAGAACACATTGATTAAGCATTTACTATGTGTCAGGAACACTTGTAAGGGATAGACTCCAATCTCATTTTAGAGATGGGGATAAGAGAGCCAGAGAAGGAAATTGCCAGCTACAGGTGAGGCCCAAAACTAACAGAGATGCTTAATTTTGAAGGCAATTTTTCTACCTCTTCCGATACTGCCTTGCAAGGATGAGACTGTACGAGGTGCCACGTGAGACACAGAGCACACAATAAGAAACTTCCTTCCAAAAATCTTTTAATATAATTGTAGAAATAGAGGCTTATTAAAAGTAAAACCATAATGCCAGAGGTAGGTGCCATTCAAGGCAGCAATATAGAGATAAATCGTTGTCTCACAGAGATTGACATCACTCATTCTACTTACTCTTTCTAGGTCCTTCAGGAAGAAGAGAGCACCTGCTTGGGGGGGTCAGGTACCATGCTAGACACATCACTCACAAGATAATTTTGTTTTCACAAGGATACTGAGAGGAAAATATTATTCTCAGTAAATGTTCAGGAAAATGAGACTTGCAAGTAATGATATTATCTAAGGTCATATAGGTGGTGTAGAACTGGAATTCAGCCCATGATTCTCTTGTAGACAAGCCCAAGCTCTTTCTATTGCAGGACCCCACATCCCTTTACAACACATGCATGCCAACAGGTAGTCTCCTTTCCTGGTTATAGCAAACAGAAATGGAGGCGGCAAAGCATGATGGGAAGTGGTAGCTGCAGTGTATAGCATCTTTGGCTTCCTCTAGAAGCCACCGCAGTCTGGGAAATGGCATTAGGCCCCATGGAATACTGTAGCCGGCACTGCTCTTTCTGCATGCTACAATGCACAAGGCAAAGTAAGTTTTTATATTTGTGGTAATTTGAATTATTGTTCAGCAATTCTAGGTCCCCTCCCCCAACTTCCATAGGAAGAATATCTTCACTTCACTTAGCTTGGGCTTGGTCCTGTGACTCACTTTGGCCAATTCTCATTGCAGATTTGATGGTAGCAGATTTGACACAGAGATTTGAAATGTATTTACATGGTTGGGCTTGTACCATGTGGCTTCCACCATCACCATGAGAAGAACATGATTCAGTTAGGAGAAAAGAAATACATGGAAACCTGTCACCGGCCCCCCTTCCCACATCTACATGTAGCCAAGATCAGAAGTGAGCAATGTTATTTGGAGCCACTGTGATGTGGGGTGGTTTTTAAGCTGCAAAAACTGATTGATTCCCTAATTTAGGCCCACATTCTAACTCATTTAGATTTGCCTCTCAATAACTTCTTTAACTTTAGCCATTTTATGAAACTTTGCATGTTGTATCATAATTTGATACTCTAAGGCAGGGGTCCCCAGGACCAGTACCAGTCAGTGGCCTGTTAGGAACTTGGCTGCACAGCAGGAGGTAAGCAGTGGGGAGCCAGCATTACCGCTGAACTCCACCTCCTGTCAGATCCGCAGCCGCGTTAGATTCTTATAGGGGCGTGAACCCCATTGTGAACTGCACATGTGAGGGTATGAGAATCTAACTCCTATGAGAATCTGACTAACGCCTCGTGATCTAAGGTGTAACAGTTTCACCCTGAAACCATCCCCCTACACCCAGCACTTTGGGAGGCCAAGGCAGGAGGACTGCTTGAGTCAAAGAGTTCCGTGGAAAAATTGTCTTCCGCAAAACCCACCCCTGGTGCCAAATAGGTTGGGGATCACTGGTTTAAAGTACCTTAGGTTCTGGGACGCTCTTCCCAGATATTAACCTCACCACAAAGGTTGTTTCAAAGTAAATAAAAAAGAGAAAGACAGAGAGAGAGAGAATAATCAAACTGAAGATGATGTCAGTAGTAGGTTTTTGTATATGCTTATGCATAGTTTTAACAAAAAAACTACAGAACCTAGACAAATAATGTCTGCCTCATTTTTGTGATAATGCAATTTGACCATTTTAGGAACCAGATTTGCCAATATCTAACCTATTTATTATATTCCTGTGTTGGAAACATTAACTGATGGAGAGCTTTCTTTGTCTTAGGAATTCTTACATTCCTTGCATCTATAAAACCCATTCCTACCAGAGAACTCACTATTTGGTTTTCTCTTGGTTCCTGGATGGATTTTAAAATAGAAAGAAAGACACTTACTAGTCAATGCATGATGTAGGGATATCCAGGAAACATCTGTGACAATTATTTTCCTGTTTTGCTTCATTTTATTATTCTTTTTCAAACTGATGTTATTTCTCCAAAATAGCTACAGAAAATTCCATTTCCCTCACATAATGGTAAATAAGCTGAACCGCAAAATGCACTCATTTTAATTTTTGCTATAATTCTATTAGATTTGCCTATGTTTTCAGTCCATATTCTAATTTTTTAAATTGATGTACACAGAATAAGTCATTACTTGGCCCCTCCCCCTCTCTCTTCTGGATGTAGAACTACTTAAGTGCAGTCTTTATGTGACTTTCACGGCTAGAGCTCATGCTTGTAACTACGAACAATTAAAAAAATCACTTGGGAACCATCTTTTCCAATTATAGCTTTGTTAATTCTCAGATGAGCAAACATTACAAGACAGCAGAAGAATAAGCAAAACAATGGAAACAAAAATTTGAGGAAGATATTAATAATGTGGGCCCTCTTCGAAGCCAGCCACCAATTTCTCCTTATCTAACAGCACACTATTTCCTTTTGTCAGCTATTTCTTGCCACTAATCCTTCTATAATTGCCAGTATTTCACTCCAGTCTTTCAACCTTGCCAGGCAACAACTGTAAGTGCTTCAATGCTTGCATTGTGCACAGGCAGCTCAACAGACCAAGATCAGCCTGATTTTTACACAAATAGAACTCCATAGGAGTTATGCTACAGCAACTCTATATTTTCTTAAAAACTGTGGGTGTTAAACTATAGGGAAGAAAAAGATTAAAATTTCCAGAATGCTCCCTCCTTATTCTTTACTTTTTCTTCACACAAAGCAATATTTATCATCTCTAAACTACAATGACTGGCTCATCATCAAAACATTTTTTAAACCCTAAATGTTATAAAATTTGTATAACATTCTTCA